GATCCTTCTATAGTTCCTTGCAGTCCCCCTTGGTCTTTACTACTTTGAATAATTTTGTGTCATCCAAATGTAAGCAATACACATATAGACTAAAAGAAGGCAGTAATCAAAACAGTTGTTTTCCAAAGCTGTCTTCTTTATAAAGACAGAAAAGAACTTGGGAGTGCATGATGAATATGAAAGAGGTTTTTTGAAGGGATCGGTGCTTATTAAAATGGCGTTTAGGCACCTCTACTATCCAATGAAAAGTAGAAGTCCTTTTGCTGAACAAAAATGTCTGAAAATATTAAAAAAAGAAAAAGAGACATCTCTTCCTAAAGAGAGCAAACTAGAGAAGAGCTCCTAAAGGACAAGTCTTTCAATGACTTTTTTCTTTTGGCAAAATATGCTGCTTTTGAACAGCTGTGGCAGTATTAGAAGTCTGTGAGCATCATGGCAGGTAGCTGCTACATTTCATTATGAAAAAAGAAATAATACAGAAATGGTTTAACATTTTCCTAAACAAAAAAATTCTAAAGTAACTTTAAATTCCTGAGTGGAATTACTTTTTTGGAATCTTTTGGGAAAATTATTTCCAAGGTTTTAACTAGCTTTACTCTGATTCTGCAGATGGCGCTACTGGGGGATACAATAAGTGAGTAGTCTTCTGTAGATGACTCTAAATTGACTCTGCCAGAGGACAGTTTTGGACATTCCAAAAACTGTCAGAAGGTAAGGTTCTTATGTCAGAAGGCTGACTAATTAATAACTGAAAATCATTCTTAACAAAACTGGATTCTTGTGAGTACATAAACTGTGGAGGGATTGAAGATTATGGAAACTGACCTTAATGGCAGTAGAATAGGGTCAAAACTGAAAACCCATGTGAAACCTATCCAAACCGTAAGGTAGTAGAAAATACAGGTAACTTTTTATTACATTATTGTAACACTTAATTACATTTTGTCTTGCTCACTGTTAATGCGAGACTGTTTCCAAAGCACTCAAACTCAGGAGAAGTTTATATCTTGAGACTAATAGTAAAAATAATAAATTGCCAGAATTTTTTTTTATTCAAACTAAATCAGAAGCCTCTGATTTAATTTGGAGAGATTCAACAATTCAGCCATAGACAGCTTTATATGTTTTTTTTACATACCTGAAGGTACCAGGCATGGGTCGTGAATGCTGAGATGGTAGGTAGATGGAGCATCCCATGGGAGCTTAGGGGGGTCCCCTGAATGTGTGGTAGTGGACCCGGAAGTGGACCAGAAGTACTTCCAGTCCACTTCTGGGTCCTCCTTGGAGTGCGCTGGGGACCCCCTGGTTCGGTGACTGGTGCCTCCTGGGTCTGGGGGGCCACCCAGGGCCCCCCCATGGCTGATCTCTGAGCTGAGAGGGTGCAGGAGGGGTCCCCCACAGAGTGTACAGGAAACCTTCCCGCACTCCCATGGGATGCTCCATCTGCCCCACCATCTCAGTGTCCATGAGCCGTGCCTGGTACTTCGAGGTACATAGAAAAAACTTATAAAACTGTGTCTATGGCTTAATTACTTATTCTCTGAATCAGAATCGACTCTTCAGATTCAGATTCAGCTGAATTGAATCAGAACAGTGATCCGAATTAGCAAAGTGAATCATTGTTCCCCGAATTGGGCCAAATCCGAATCGAATACTGTCCACTTCGCACAACCCTACTATCCAACTTATAGTAGTTTTGTATAGTCCACATTTCCTCAATTTATGAGAATGTCATGTGGGACTTCAGCAAAAGTCTTCCTGAAGTCCAGATATAACTATTTTCACCACATTCCCTTCATCTACCTAAGTAGTTACTTTGTCAAAAAAGCAGATCACATTTGTTTGGTATGATTTATTCTCAGTAAAACCATGCTAGCCACTTGCAATTATCCTTCCCTCCTCCAGATGCTTGCAAATGGATTTCTTTAAGATGTGTTCCAGTAACGTCCAATCTATTGTGGTAAGGCTAATTGGTTTATAATTCTCTGGGTCCCCCCTTTTTGGTTTTTTTGGAGAGAGACAGTATGCTGGCCCTTTTCCCATCCTTTGATACCTCATTCATCTCCCATCACTTTGTAAATATTATTGCCAGGGGCTCTGAAGTCTCCTCTGCCTGTTCCTTCAGTACCCTGGGATGAAGTTCATCAGGCCCTGCTGACCTGAATTCATTCAGACCCATCAGAAGCTCTGTTTCTTTTGTTATCTCAGCATGTCCTCTTCCTTATCCAAATAATTATTAATTATCTGCTTGCAGCTTTATTTTTCTTCTCTTTTTTATAAAGACAGGGAAAGTAGCTGTACAGCAGCTCTGCCTTCTTTGCATCTTCTGTTATGAGTTCACCCTTGGCATGTCTACATGTGCAATTAATGCACCTGAATGTTCTGTGTAGAAAATTCAGGCTCATTAAAGTAGTCCAGGTGCACATGTAGACATATGCCTGTGTTGGAAGCAAATTGCATCTGAAAGGAGCAGCTCAATCCAAGACAGCTTCCCCCCACCCTCCAGAGCTCAAGGCCAGGCCCAATCTCCCCACAGCTGCAAAGGAGCTGTCTCAACTCAAGGGCAGCTCCCTTCCCATCTCTGTGGACATTGGGGCCAGCCCCAATCTCTGTGGAACTGGAAGGGAGCTGTACCTGGAGCCAAGATTGCTCCCATGGCCCCCAATAGTTTGATTATTTTACTGAAAAGAGGCAGCCAAATCCAACTAGCAATCTTTGCCAAATGAATACCAGTCTGTATACAGGTATCCAAGTTGTAGCCGTATTGGTCTAGAGGAAAAAGCAAGTCTGTATACAACGATTTGCAGCATGGAGAAAACCCTGATTGTGATTCTGTTTTTTCTATTTATAGTCTTTCTTGTAGAGAAGCATTTTGTTATGCCTTAGAAAAATAAGCCATATACACAATTAAGCCATATTACACATCATGCAATATATAAGGTAGCTGTCTATTAATACACAAGCATTTCCCATTTAGGTCCTTTTTGTGTGGATATTTGTATTCATTGTAGAGTGTGACCCCATGAAATATCTCTCCAATGTGTTCTCATTATCAGCAACTAAAGAAAGTTTCCTTGTGAACGAAGTCTTGCACTGATCCTCTAAAGAGATGTAATACAGACTTCAGTCCATTATCACAGATGTAGTGAAAAAATGTATGACAGAGAACGTGACCATAAATTTAATGCGAGGAGTGAAGCAAGAATCAGATGTAATTACTGTAAATTGATTGCAAGTCCCAGTGGGGACATTTAAGGTCTAATATTCATTGTAATAGAATACAGAGCAATAAAAGATTTTGGAAAGTTATTAAATGCCAAAGTAAACCAGAGGCACTTGATAATTGCAGACATGGTTTATTGCAAGTACAATCTAATGCCATAAATATTATTCTTACTACGTAGTAAGATAGAATAAACCATAGCATTTGGGGAGGGGCAGTAAAGGAAACTTGGGCTGATGGACGAGGGTTATTTTTTTTAAATGCCCTCATTTATTCTCCAGAGATAAACCATTTAACTTTTGCAAGTCACTATGAGCAACAAGAAAAGCAGAGAAAGTAAAGGAGAATGTTATTATTATAAATTGTTATTTGAAGTAGGATTTGCCTGAATAAGATGGCAAAGACTATACGAAACAACATTTTATAATATGGGTGCACTTAAGTAATTCTGTTTCAAACAGTAAGCAAAAACATCAGAGAAAGAAATAAAAGGTATGGTTATAAAAGAAAAGGGATATTTTCAGCTGAGATTTTAAATAAGGTGGGAAGTCAATTCAATTATAAGAGAATTGCAGAGTCTCACATCTACAGCATGAAGTAAACTGGAGACATAACGAGAAGGAAGCAGTGTGAGAAAAGTGGCAAGAAAGAGGTGGGACACAGTATTAGAACACCAGATGAGGTAAAAGAGCATTGACTTCTATGGGCCTCTGACAGTTCACACTATCTAAGCCAGGGGTCAGCAGCATTTTTGGGCAGAGTGCCAAAAACACCCTCAACTTTGACTTGTAAGATGTTGGCATGCTAGGGGCAGTTGGCAGAGGAGCTATGAGGGGACCAATCCTTTTTGTGGTAGCACAGCCCTGGCCCATTCCCCGCTATCTGCCCTGAGGCCTGTGTGCCAAACAAAATGCTTTGCATGCCTTGCTCTGGCACCCATGTTGAGGGGTGCCTACCCCTGATCTAAGCCTTTGATTCTCAGAAACTCTTAGGCCAGCTGAAGCAAATTAGTGGAGGATTTAAAACTAACCAACACAAAGCAAACAAAAATCCCACAGAGGTCTGCAGTGAATTGGGAGGCAAAGTGAAATACTAAAACCTAAAGGTGATGCAGTTTCGGTATCAGAGATCAAATGGCAATATTTTTGTAATTTGTGACCTGGACCTTGACAAATGATTCAAGTGAATATCCAGTAGTTGGGGGAAGACATTGTAAAGAAGGTTAAAATATGCCAGAGATTTTCAGCAGAGATTAGGCACAAAGCAATAGTTACACAGGTTTATGAGGTGTGAGAGTGACTGGAGCATTCAAGTGCCAGAAAGACACTGTGTATATAGAAACCTTAGCAAACGGGTGGTCCAATCCTTCCCTGCATTCCTTTGTGGTGCTGCACCTTCTTTAACAAAAGGCTCTGTCCTAAAGTCATGATCGAATCTATATATATATTTAAAATAAATGTAAATTACTAGTCACCTGAGGTCATCCCAGGACACTTTTAGAATTTCAGTGTTCTAGATTAACTCCAATTGGAGAATTCTACATTCTGCCAACAATTTCAATTCGATGACAATCTATATTTCCTCTTCTAAACTAAAAGTTATGTTTCACTACTGAAAAGCTATCTTGTTCTATCTTTCATTTTTGGGGTGGTGAATCTTGGGTGTGGATATAATTTGAAAAGCACACAAGGATTCTTCTGGATAAAGGATATGTCAAGTTCATTAGAATGTGACTCCAAGACAAAGGCTTCAAATTGCAAGATAGTATGAAACTTACCTTGGGTAAAGTTAAGGCTAACTTGCATAACTGTGACTGTTGCAGGTCATCATCATGAAGGAGGGGTTCTTCCCAGTTCTTGGCTATTTTTTCTCTGGCCATTTTATAAAATACTGCAGTTCCCTTGTAATGGGGTGAGCTGTGATTACCAAATTCATCCACCTCTTTTATTTGCAGCTCAAGCCTTGGTTTTCTTTGTGCATGAAAAATAAGCTTGTAGGCTTTTCCAAAATCATTCCCATTATCTGTATTTGACAAAAAGAGGCAATTCCTATACTCAGTCAGATTTTATGGTACATAAGCATATCAAGATCTCTGGGGCGCAAGACAGATCAGTAGGACTAATTCCACAAATAAAATTATTGTTTTAATGATTGATCCTTAAATATGCAACATAGAGTAATAGAGACAATTTCCTGAGCACCTATATTGACTATTAAGTTATCTTAAAGCTAACTTCCTCATCTCCTAAATGTGTCTCTGGAGATGATAAAATATATACTAGTAGAAGACAAGGTATATGAAAGGCTCTATTTAGTTAAATGTTACTCAGCAAGTGTTTGATCACACAACTTTATCTTTTATTAAAGTGACTATAGCAAGGGAGCACAGTTACAGATGCGTCTTGCATTTTCTATCTTCTATCTTCTATTTTAGATGATTAATACTCAGGAGGTGCGTTCACACATGAGCATTTACTGTGCAGTAACCAAAATTACTGCATAGTATGGGTGCACAACCACATGTGTATGTCAGTACTGCGCAGTAAATATGGTGACATATACTGACCTGAGCATAAGTTCGATACCTGCTGCATCATGCAGGTATCAAGTTTACTCCCCATTAGTTCCTGCACAGTAATGCATGTGTAGACACCTTACTGTGTCACACTGTGTGACTAACTAACTTTAGTTAGTCCCAAGTCAGTCCACACACAGCGTTAATGCACTTTAATGCCTGCACGTGTAGACACCAGTTTATTCCTGCTTTCTGTGCAGTAGTTTAGTACACAGTAAATTTAAGCCAGTGAAAATGCACATGTAGACATGCCCAAGTGCCACTACTCTTATATGCTGTATAACTATGCAATATATCTCAGAAGCTGTAGGCTACTGTTTTGTAGATTTATTCTTGACTTAAGACAGGTTTTCCCTTAGGAGAGGTTATATAACATGTGGAATAGGATTGTCCAAATGGCAGCCTATGAGTTACATGTAGCCATCAAGGGATTAAGTAGTGGCCGCCCAGGTCCTGCCTAGCTGTTGCTCCCCTCACTGCTCCAACTGAAAAATCAGCCTGAGTCTCTGGGTTCCCCTCCAGCTCCTTCTGCTGCCACTTCTTGCCTCCACCACAGCAGATGAAACAGAACAGTGAAGTACACAAGAAGCTTAGGGTTAGTCTAGGGCTGTGCAGGGAGTGGGGTGGGAGAAAGGGTTTGGGGCATGCACTGCAGGGTTGGGGGTTGCCCAGTACAGTGGTGGCAGAGGGTCTGCATTGTACAGCAGAGGGGTGGGGACAGCATCCATGTGGCACATAGCCTGGTGGTCTGTGCCTTGTCTGGTATGATCCACATGGTGACCGTCCTCTGCTGGTATAACCCAGGTGAGCTCCCCTGGGGCTCAGAAGTTGGAAAGCCTTGGTGTAAAATGTGACTTCTAATGGTGGCTAATTACATACAAATTACAAATTAATGCTAATACCTGGAAGAGAAAACTATAAATATTTTGGCTAGAATGCTCCAAAGTGCTCTCTACCTCCCATTGAACAAAATGGTTTGTCCCACAAAAGTTAATGTCAGTAATTACCCCATCTCAGAGTGCTTGTGAAAAATTATTTAGCAATAGATTGATCATAGTTTACAGAGCATCTGACCTTAATATGCCTTCAATTCTACAGATTTACACTGGAATAAATGACAGCAGAATATGTTACTTTCAATTTTAAATACTTTAAACCCCATTGAGGTGTATTTAAAAGGTCTATGACACGGGGCTAACAGAGAAAGGGAGGAAAAGATTGTGGGTGAAATCCTGGTCCTTGTGTGGTTGAAGATAAGATACCAACCTACTTTAAAGGATGAGGATTTTGCGCAATAAACTTTTCTTCAGTAAGGCACGTATCTTTAGTTAACAATATATAAAGAATTCATCTTTAAAAAGTGTACTAAAATAAAGAGCATTTTATTTCAGAATAATTTTTGATCAGGTGGAGAGACAACAAAAAACAGAGTTTCTGAATAATTCAGGTGACTGATAGGGTGTATTCATAGACAAGAAATCACTGTTATACCTGAGGCAAATATGTTGCCAGTAAATCTAAAATGAATCTGGTCTCCTTCTCTCAGTTGAAACTGCTGAGTTGGTTCTGGAGGGCCAAAGTATCCTTCCTGACGGAGGCGTTGAAGATCCCAGTTCAATTCTTTGGAAGGAACAAGTAAAACAACTATTCTATAAGGGTTTTCTTTCTTCCGATAAAGTACAACGTTAGCCATGGTGCTGCGAACGGCTTCATCCAGAGCCTTAATAAATAGGACTAGATGTTTATTGTCCACGAGAAATGAGAGGCGAATAACAATAAAGCTGCATTAGGAAAAGAAGAAAACATGTAGTGCCTGACATTTAAACAGTTCTTTATTGGATGTTAAATCATCTTATCTACTATTGACAGGTTATCAAGCAATATAATATAGCCATTCTGATTGACTGATAGCCATTCTATTGAGCTTCACTTCTGAAAGAAGGATATTAAAATCTGATTTGTTTCCTGAAGTATGAACCCAGAACAGAATTCTAGGTTTTCAAGACTTATTCAAGAATGTTTATGAAGTATTCCTTTGTTATTCTCAATCTTTGTCCAGCTACAAACAATGAATAACATTTTCAAAGCTGATTTTGGAGCCTAGAAACTACATCTGAATGACTGCCAGGGACTACCACCAGAAATAAAGACCGGTTCAATCTCTCCCACTCCATAGACCCAAGCCAAGCAACGCTAGTTAGAGTAAATGATTTACAGTAGAGTAGGGATGGTCAGTCCATATGCCACAGGTGGCCTGGGCAGTTTCTGTGTGTAGCATAGTGGTAGGTAGGGCAGGAAACGGAAAACACAGTGACATATAGGGTGGGTAGCACAGGGCAGGGAGCAGAAAACAGAGCAGTAGATCAGGCAGGACAAGATAATTGGAGTGGCAGTATAGGTGGTGGGGGCATGCAGGGCTTAATTTGTGACATGCTTGCCAAAATGGTTGGGGCCCAACTGGCTTGCTTAGAGGAGTCTTAAAGATTTGTCTCGGAGCTTCTCTCCAGCTCTGTCTTTCAGGAAAGCCTGACAGTAGCACTGAGACACATTCAGAACGCCTTTCAGCTGTCTGATCTCCCTAACTGCTCAACTTTGTTTCTGTGAAGTGCAAGTGAGAGGGCAGAACTTGCACTTCACAGAAAGTGAAGTGGCAGTCCTGAGACCTACTGAGACAGGTATCCACTATCAGACAGGTGATATTATTGAACTAAAAGAAGACAAAAGAGCTAATATTCTTGACTTAAGGCTACTTCAAGTATGGTAATTTGTATGTCATTTCATTTGTTATTGAGTCTCGTTAATCAGCTCATGGTTACTTATATAAAATACTGACTAGGATGAGGGAGTAACTGGTTTTAAGAGAAGAGGCATTAATGTCAGTAAGATGTTATAGAAAAGGTGACTTGTGTATAGGGCAAATATATATCTACATTTTAAAATATATTAATTCTTTAATGGATCAAAATGGATTTATTTATTAAATATAGTATATACTTGATATAGGATAACTGCAAAGTAAGTCCTAATTCATACCTTTCAAAATAGATATTAAAAACTGTATAAAGATGTTGAATAAATACCATGATGCATGTTATAGCTTCATTTTATAATTCTGAGATACAATTAAACAGAAACTGCTTGATTATGTATATATTGTATCTTATTGCTGCAATATTTTCAATTTACTTCATCAAGAATCTATGTTATTTTCATATACTTCCCTGGTATGGCTAAAAATCTTTCCATTCATTGAGCTATTAAGGCATAAGGCTGGGCAGCGTAGCACCTGAGGGTGCCTATACACTGCACTGCAGCAGACTCGATTAATCAAGTCTGCCGGAGTGTGGCAGTTACCACATTCCAGTGCCCTTCTATATCTTGTGTATCAGTTTCCCCACACTTAAAAATGGTGACTGGGGCACCTGAACTAAATCTCAATGAATGCTTTATTTCAAGTGCCCCCACCAACATTTTGAAGTATGGGGATGTGGGTACACGAGATGCACTGGTGCTTTAATTAGACAGGCTCTTGGAGCTGCTCTAATTAAAGTGCTGCCCCCGCCACCATCCCTGGAGCACAGGTACAAGTGCCCTTAGAGAATAAATTGTTCAGAAAAGTATAAGTCTTCATAGGCAGTAACTACCTCAGTCAGATGCTGTCTAGATCAATGAGCTATTTACCATATTTACCTAAATCCAAGATAACTTTGGGCAAAGATGACCCCCACAATAATTAGATTCTATACATGGAAAGTTATAGTTTTCCATGTACAGAATCTAATTATTGGAATGTCATCTTAAATTCATCTTGCCATTGCAGGAAAAGCAGTGGCAGAGGTTGAGGGGCCAGACTCCTGTCTCTTGCCCTTTCTGTCTGTCCCTTTTCCCCTGTTCCCTCATGCCTGTGCCTGCCCCTCCTGCCACTTGTTCCCCCATTGCCTGCTTCCCTGCCACTTGCCCTCCTGCCATGTTGTTCCCCTTTTGTTGCCTCTGTTCCTGCCCCCCATGCTTGTGCTTGGTCCCTCAATGCTTGCCCTCTGCTCCACATTGCCTGCCCCCTGCCACATGTCCACTGGTGCCTGCCCCCATGTCTGTGCCTTTCCCTGTCCTTGCTTCTCCTGATCCCTTACCTTTTGCCCCTCTGTGCCCTTGTCTCAACCCTCTGACTATTCCCCCTGTGACTGCCCCCTGGACTCCGTGCCCCTCTCCACTTCCTGGACCGCTCTGCTACTTATCTTCTGCAACAGCTCTGCTCTGGCTCAAGCACAATCAGCAATGGTGGCCCTGGCCCTGCCCAACCAGGAAGAAGCTGGGTCAGTGCCAGACAGGCCAAACCCAGAGCAGAAGATAAGCAGTGGGGGAAGCAGACTGGAGGAGTGGGATGGCAGGCACCACAATGTCCCCTGCACTTACCCCAAGCCACACATGCAGGTCTCCTCTGAACTCTTCCTTCCCCATTGTGCTATGTTCTTCCAAGCGCTCCCTAACCCCTACCTCCTCCACCCCTACTGCCTGATTTTCCCCATGCTGCCCTGGCTGCATGCCTTTTTGTCACACTGCACAAGCCACCCCAGCTCAAGACAGGGAGTGGCTTGGCCCCAGGCTGGAGGTGAACCATTGCCTGTCTCAGACTGGTATTCAAATCTAAGACAAGTGCTGTTTCCACCAGAGCTGATAGGGGGTGCAGTCATTTTAGATGTGCATAAATTAATCATTTAGGTGAATCTAATGATAAGGCACCTAAGATGAGCCTCTCAAAGAATATACTCATATATAAATCATTATATTTATTTAGTTCTAGATTGTTAGATCTTCTAGGCAAGAGGGAACATACTCCTTTGGCAAGAATCTTCACAAAAACAAAATTTTAAATGAATATTGAGCTCCCTCTATACGTTCAGGTAAAGGTGCAATGGAATCTAATGCATAATCCACACAATCAAACTTCCTGCCATGCCACACGTGCATGGCATAAGGCGTGATTGTGGGATCATGCATTAGATCCCTTTGCACCTTACTGCTGGTGCAGGTGAGGCCCAGAGGTATTACACTGGGCATGGCTCCCAGACACATGGGAGATATGTTTATCACTTAAGTAGCCAATCTAAGAAAGTTTTCAGTTACTTGTAAACTGGGAAATGTAAAATAGAGGGTACATTTTTTTGTGAATGATTTCTTACCTCTGTTGATCTGTATGCTGGGATGTGAAACTTTTACTACATAATTTTATTCAGTTATTTATACATTACCTTTCTAAATGTTCATCTAGTTCAAATGATACAAGCCCATTCCTTGTATTCTGCACAATAACATCATCAAGCACAACCCATTCCTCCTCTTTGCTTTTGTAACCTAGTAATTTCAGGGATTCGGTAAGTTTCTCTCCGTGGTTTCTCCCAGAGGCACTCATTGCCCTAAATGATCACATGAAATGAAAAAGACATTACAAAAGTTACATTACAAAAGTAAGGCCTTTGGAACAGTATGCTGGTCATCTTAGATTTCTTGTTTCCTCCTGAAAAAAACTGCATCTGGAATATATAATTCTAATCTTGAAAATAACATTGATGATGCTTTTTTACCTAATCAGTTTGTGCATATTTTCTGACTCTCAAAAATTCTGTCCAAGTGATCCTAGTTATATTATAGAATAATAACATTCAAATCTAAAGTTATAGTTAGTTTTTCACAAGTACATTCTGCTTCTTACCAATTTACCAAACTGAGAAGAAGGATTCAGCCCTGGGGCAAAAACTGATGTCTGATATTAGAAGTAGAACTAACCCTCTGAAAAAAAACTGATACATGTATAAGGGTACACTTATTTTGTCAACCAAGATATTATGTATTAATGGGAGAGTTTACAATAACTGGAGAAGTTACCAACAGTATTACACTAGAATGTTAGTGCCAAAGAAACCCAGCAGCTAGGACAAGTAGTTTATTTATTTATGTTTTCCCTCCTGATCAGAGACCTCAGCATATGCATAGGGAAAAAGCCCACACACATTTCTTAATAGGGAAATCCTTGTGATGCCATGGAACTGACTCAAACTTGCAGGGACTGAAAGAAGTATGTTTCATATTAAGAAATCTTTTCAGATATTTAAATATATCAAAAAAGTTTGCAGCCAATTTCTATAGATTTTCAATAGAAATGTTGCCAAACTGCAGGCTCTTCCTGGACACACTTTGAATTGAACTTAATATAGCTTCAAGTACTTCTGGAGGTGAATTCATGCTTTAGGCTGAAATCTTTTGTAAGTACGGGCAGATGACATTCAAGCATTTCTAAACAATCCAATATCCCTTATGCATGTTTCAGTTGTCAACCTCCCATAAGCAGTGAGGCCCAAATCTTTCAAATGACAGGGTGATAAGGTTCAATGCCTGCAACAGATTGGAATGAAACTAAATTTCTTCAAAAAAGATGATTTAATATTTCTAAACCTGAGAACATTCTTATTATTTGCATAGTTCCCCCACCATCACTTTTTTTTTTTTTTTTGGAAAAAAAACTATGCAAAGAAGCTGACTGTGATAATAAGTGAAAAACAGAAGACAGCAACTGACCAAAAAATTCTTGATCATAATGTAGACTAGTACTTTAAGTTGCTTGACATATTTCTGTGAGCTTTTAAAGAGTGTATGGAAAATAAATAAAAATGTATGACAACTCCTTCTCAATCACATTTTATGTCCCATTATGCACTTGACCTTGTGTATGTGAATAACTAAAAGAAGATTAATTATAACATATATAACACATATAACAAATTGGCTCTCTCAGATATGCCACTGAATGAATGATCTAATATGGCCAGTACAGCAGTTAATGATAGTAAATGTGTTAAGTATTCCTGAAAAAAAAAAAATGTTTATTAATTTGAAACAACAAAAGTCATGTCATATTCACCAGATCACAAAAAAAATCATAATTTGAAAAATGATTGTCTGTTGTAAGTAATTCTCTTTCTGTACACTGCTCAAGTTTTGCATTTTTAATTAAATTGTCCCTGACTTTCTTTTTCTATTTTCAACAAATGCAACAAGTTGAAATGCCAAAAACCAGCATGTGTGAGTGACTGGTGCCTACCGGGGGGGGGGGGGGGGGGGGGCCCCCCCGAAGAAGCCACTGACAGTCAGAGGGGGCAAGAGCCCTGCTGACAGCATCGGTGTTAGCCATCCGGGGGGCTGTCAGATGGGCATGTGCACCCCCTACCAGTTGCCTATGCCAGCATGCAAATAGCCTGGTGAAACTGAATTCAGTAGGCAGCAAATGCTTTTGTCCTATGAGAAAAATATGCCAATACCCAAAAGAAATCAATAACCATTATGTGATTAAGTGAAATCTACTATAGTAACTCCCTTTATCACCTAACCCAGTGATTTGCAGAAACTTGTATGTATTGCAGCATGTTAAGACTATTTCAAAATATCAGTTTGATTGGCTGTACTGATTCTTTGAGGCTTGTTGGAGGAACACTTCTGAGCTGACTGCACCTTGCCCCAAGAAATCTTACTATCCTGGTTTTCACTTCAGGGTTTTACTCAGCCAACAAAGCCATCCAGTGGATTTGTTTGGCAGGCCAGCCTTCTTAACCTTCCAGTTAAAAACTAGTTAGGCACTGTGACCAAGATTCCCCATAGTGACTAATGATGTCTCAACTTTTGGCATGCTCACCTTAAAACACTTTAATGGAGCCTTATTTCCAAAAGTGCTATTTACTAGGGGTGTGTGAAGCGGGCCCTATTTGATTTGGATTTGGATTCGGCCTGAATCGGGGACAGTGACTTTGTTGATTCGGATCTCTGTCTGTGATTCAATTCAACTGAATCCGAATCTGAAGATTCGATGTTGATTTGGAGAATCAGCGATTCAGACATGGACACAGCTTTAGAAGTTTTTCTACATACCTTGAGGTAGCAGGTGCAGCTCATGACCGCTGCAATGCTGGGGCGAATGGAGTGTCCCACAGGAGAGCAGGGGGACCCTCCACATGTTCGGCAGTGAACCCAGAAGTGGACCAGAAATACTTCCAGTCCACTTCCAGGTCTGCCGGGGAGCACACTGGGCCCCCCCACACACACACGACCCCTCTGCTCAGCAATTGGTCACAGGGGGTTCCCGGGTGCCCCTCCCAGACCCAGGAGGCACCAGTTGCTGAGCTGCGGGGGGTGGAGAGGGGGCGGAAGTGTGCTTCCTGGCAGACCCAGAAGTGGACTGGAAGTGCTTCTGGTCTTCTTCCGGGTCTGCTGCTGAGCACACTGGGGAGTCCCCCATGCTTCTGTGGGACACTCCATGCGCCCCAGCATCACAGCACACACAAACCCCTGCTCCCTAGAGGTAAGTAGAAAAAAGATTTAAAGCTGCGTCTATGTCCAAATCTTGAATCTTGCTGAATCTCTCCAAATCGATTCAGAGGGTTCTGATTCAATTAAGAGAGATTAAAGGGTTCTCTGATTCGGTTTGGATTTGGAGATTCAGCCACTGAGTCAGGCTGAATCTCCCCCAAATCAAAACGGGGACTGAAGCTTCACACAGCCCTACTATTTACCCACCCACTGAAAATATTCCCCTCTTAAGGTATCTCAAGTTGGGGACCATACAGTTAAAGCATCCAGAACTATTGGGCATGTATACTCATGCTCTGGGGGTAGGGACGGGGTGTGATTTAATTAGAGTGGCTTTAAAAGCCACTCTAATTAAAGTGCCCACAGCATCTCATGTATTCAGTGCCCCACATTTCAAAATAGTGGCGGGGTGCTTAAAGTTAAAGTGCCCTCACCACCATTTTGATGTGTGGGGCACTGAATACATGAGATGTGGAGGCTGCTGGAGCACACTAATTAGCATGCTCCAGCGGACTCAACTAATTAATTAATTAATTGAGTCTGCTTCAATCCACTGTAATTACAGCACATTGGAGCAGTGTTCTTGCATGTCTATAGGCACTCATTGTGTTTTGGAAGTCTTCACCCATGTAGTGTTCTGTCTTAGAGTACAGTCAGTCCTAGGAGTTCAGAGACCAAGCTGGCTACCTGTACATTCATAGGCATTCTGGTCGAGGTCTCTAAAAATAATCATCTTCCTGAGCTTTAGATAAGTTGTGTTTCTTTTTATAATTGCTGCTATTTTAAAACCATGGAGCATTGAGTTGGAAACAGTAAGATCCAGATCCAAGGTGAGTAATTATGTTTGGTTTGGTCTGTTAAGAATTTTCCCCATAACAGTGAGAATGATATATAAAGATGACTGCAACTAAACACTAAGAAGCAGCTTTGTTTAACTGTATTCACACTGAGTAATTTATATTCTATTTATGTGGTAGGTGAATAAAGTTGGAAAAATCTGGTTTTAAGGAGAAATTAAATAGCTGGGTACTTTGTTTTCAATAATGTCTTATTTTTATTTCTGTATTTAGTTAAAGACATTGGTGTCTAGCTGGTGTAAATCGGTAGATTCATGGAAGTCAGTGGTGCTATGTTGATTTACATCTCATGAAAATATGGCCCATTATATTTCTGAACATGACCTCTTTAAGCCATATTTAAGTGAAGAATGTATTTGAATACAAAATGTCAGAACCTTGTATGTGTCAGAACCTTGTGCAGTTAATTTTCTTTCTTCCTCTTTCTGGATTCATAGATATAAAAACATCTTACTCACCGAAGATGATAGGCAGTTGCAGTCCTGGTTACTGTAGAACTAGTGGCTCTTCCATGATCTATCTCATCACCCTGTCTCTTTTTCTCTGGATTTGGAGGACACGGTAGAATAATAGTGACTGATTTATTAAATGGCTGGAATGAAGGATGCTGGATATGAACCAAAGGGCTAGTAGACACTACTGAATGATACATGTCATATTTTGTTTTTAATATGGAAACCAGTGATGGCTCAATTGGTTGGACCTAAGGTTAATAAGTAAGAGTACAGTTACTTTACAAATAAATAACATGAGATTTAAAACATTCTTAATTTTTTTTTTTTATTTAATGTAACATTTGGAACTGGAAAAAATATGCCTTTCACAAAATCTCTTATTATTAATTCAGCACTTACATATATTTCTTTGTTGTTAACTCTCTTGTGGTGAGCCCTAAGATTATTCCTTTCTTAGTTTGTGCACAACCAGCATCTTTAAACTGGTTCACAAGAAAACAGTTCACAAGAAAAGAAAACAAAACAAACAAAGATGGTATTTTTAATGAAACACTTACGAGTTTGCTTCCTGTTTTAAACTATAGAGCTCGTATTTTAAAAAGATTTCCTATTCTATCTTGTTTAGTTGTTCATAAGATTCCTTTTTCTTGTCTATCTTTTATTTGCCATAAATTTTACCTTTTTATTAATACAGTCCAATGCATGATGTAACTTATATACATTTTTATATATATACATGTTGTAGTTGGACCAAATCTTGAGGTATCCCCAGTCCAGGACATACAGGAAGCCAAATCCTCCTTTGTATTGCCTGACTGGCACAAGCCAAGTAAAACAGAATAAATCACTGGCCCCCCAAAAATGGTAATCTAAGTAGATGTTTTGTTTTTGTTAGAAACATCCTTGTTTCCTAGCATATAGCAACCATAACAGTAGCTAATATTTCCTTAAATTTCCTTGTTCTTATATGTGAAACAAATACACATGCAACATTTGAGGAGGCAGAATTTCTAAGGGGGGACTTCGTAAATGTCTCTTAAATAGTGTAATGGGACCCCTATCCCCTGTTGCTGCAGAGGGTGCAGGATACAAAGAAAAGCTGCAGGCAAGGAGGCAGGTTGCAGACCTGTAAGTTTGCTAATTGGCGATAAGGAGCTCCTGTGCCCTGTTAGGAAAGGGGAGAACAGGTAACGAGAAGAAGCAGACCCTAGGTGTTATGTTAGTTTGTCTTCTGGACTGAGAAATCAATCTGCGCAAATCATAGTAAGAAGAGGATCTCCCTGAGGAGAAACTTCAGGCCCAACAGAACTGTGCATGGGCAGAGATTGCAGGTCAGATAGAGAGAGAGCTGAGTGTGAGGGCATAGAACCTAACTTGAGTTCAAAGTGATAAAATTTGGATCAGACCAGGGTGGCCCAATGATAAGCAGAGCACAGTGAGGCATCTAAGGTACCACTCCAGTAATATGAGGGCTGCCGCAAATGTACATTAATTATCATCAAGCTGTGGCAGGAGAAGACCATATGATATTCTGGTGAGCCAGAGGGCAAAATAGGGGGGATTGTTGCCAGAGAGCACCATCACTGTCTTTGGTGGAGGAGCCCATTACAGTATACAGCAGAGAAAGCTTTCAGATATCTATGGACATTATATCTGTCACTGAACTGCATTACAGGCTGTAACTCACACATGTCCCCCATGCAGGAATTTGTGGCTCCTGGATCCATAAAATCATGGACCTCCTGTCCATGATTTTATGGACAGGAGGTGCCTCTGCTCTTCCCTGTTGGCTTGTATGGGGTCATGTAAAATTAACTGTTAGGGACAGAGTATGATGAGTTGCTTTGCAAGTCTACTCTATACACATGCACTTTCCTATGTAGTGGAACAAAAATAATAATGCTTACTAGAGGTCTTCAACAAAATAATAGCTATAGTTCATATTTATTTTTGGAACTATTATGCAGATATATGGAGGAAAATCTGTATATTACAAGTTTACCTTTAACTGCATGGAAGCTGGAGAACTGAACGTTTCAGGAGGGTAGTATAAAGATACCCTGGAATCCATGCTTAACTTTTGTGAAACTCCTTCCTTTGGAACAGTGAAAATTTCTGTCTTCAAGCATGATAACACAGAAAAAATACCCAGCTGGTAAATGTTCACCTCTGCAAAATTTCCCTTTATAGAAAGAAAAAAAAATATGTATCTGTTATTAATGTAGTATCTTTTCCTTGTGGTATGCATTAACTAAATTCTGAGATCTGTGATGAAAATATCAACAAGAACAACAAAGAGGAACATGAGAAGGAGGAGGAGGAAGAAGAAGAAAGAAGAAGAAAATAATACTGTCACCATTCTGAGGGTCTGTTTCCTTACTGTGGGTGCATCTGCATGAGCAATTAATGCACCCTGATAATCTCTGGTGCAGGTTGCGCTGGAGACAGCTGCTCCTGGGTTCAGCATCTGCACATGTGCCTGGGACCTCAGAAGTCTGAACCAAGATGGAGCAGCCCCAGATTGGCAGAGAGCCTGGTGGGTCATTCCCAGACTCCGAGTGGTGGTGGTAGGCAGTGTCGGGGCTGGCTGGGGCACAAGAGTGCTGCCATACAGGGCTAGGCAACAGGCAAAGGAGCAGCAGGATAAGATTAACAGCAGTGGAGCTGTTATCCGTTACCTTGCTGATGCCACCTGGGATGCAAGTTTCCAAACACTTTTTCAACTCCACTTTGGCACTTGTTTATGCTCCTGCTATGAACTGTGATCAGTATGGGGCTGGAGTATGCGCACTAAATTAGAGGATTCCAACCTTAGCAGCATAATGAAGACCATTACTGGATGCCTTATGCCAACCCCATTTGACTGCCTACCAGTCCTCTCAGGCATTCCTTCCCTTTCCCACTCCCTCTGCCCCACCCCCCCACACACATCCAGAGACAAGCTGCTACCCTGGCCCTAGGCCTCAAATCCCAAGATCCAGACCATTCTTTGCATTCCAAACTAGTAGCTACAAGCCAGAAAACCAACTACTTCCTGAGGTCTTGGAACACATTCTCTACTCAGGCCAATAAGCTCATTGAATATGCAAACAGCATGTCACCTATAGTGTGAACCTCCCATCAGTGGATCAGGAAATATGCTGCACAAGAACTGCAGCTAAAGAACTTCATCCCCAACACCATCTTCCACCATCTTAACTGTCTCAATACCAGCCTTGGAAGGTGTAAGGTGAGCATGCATTCTTGGGACCTCCCCAACAATTCTGGCTGCAGCTGTGGTGCTCAAGCTCAGATGGCTGACCACATCATCTAAAAATGCCCTTAAAGGTTCTCCTTCAGGTGCCCAAGGTCATATTGATATTGACTATTCTACCTGTTGCTGACTTTGTGGCCCTCATGTGGAGACAATCACCCCGTCATGATCTACCCGTACATTTGAGCGCATGTAATTACTCCACCATAGGATAGTACTCTCCCTGACAGTATCTTGTGGCAGAATTAATTCATTTACTGTGCCATAATACTGTGCATGTGTAGACTGTGATGCTTTACTGCAGAGCTAATCAATCAACTCCACAGTAAAGTGCACATGTAGATGCACCCTGCATTACTACAGTTGTCATGTTAATTCATTGAACCCAATGGAGTTGCAGTATAAAATTGGATTTAGCATACTGTTGAATCAGACCCAGTGTGATTAATTTCACACTATGCAAATTGTAGCACAGTGACTTTTGTAGATGTGGTGAATGCAGTCAACATGAATGCTGATATAATTATGCTACTCCTCTTTGGGATAAATAAAAACAGTGTTCTTTTCCCCACTTTATTATTTACAAAAGAATTGTCATCCAGTGCTTGCATTTTAAAAAAAAAATCTTTCCTGTCATCAGTGTTCTGGGGTAAAGTATTTCTCTATTTAATATTTACAAAAACAGATGTTGTTTAATTCAGCGAGTTTGGGGAACCTGTGAGAACAGACTTTCAATTTCATCTAGAAAAAAAATGAGATAGATCCTCCAATGAAATAAATTATGCTCTAATATACCTGATAGGCATTGAAAAGCACAGGTGACTTTATGCCTTCCTAGCTTTGGAATTATTATGGGAGGGGACATACCTAAAATTCATGATCACCTTAGAAAATTCATATAGCATTGGCTACCCTACCAAAATATAATTCATGTAAGGGAAAATATTACTAACTAATCACTGTTTTAATTGGAGAATTCACCAAACTTATCTGCAGAGCCACAACTAGTACTTCTATGAGACTCTGATAAGAGTTTACCAACCTTATGGTTTCCCTGGTATCCTTCCAAGGAAATGGGAGGTAAGTAACTTGATTGAAAGGTTTTATCAGTCACTTTCACCAAAATTTCTCGATAATTGCTTCTGAGCCGTGCAGTGAATGGGATTGCAATGATGATAGGAAAAGGGATTCTTTTCTCATAATCTAAGCACTCAACACTGATGACATTGCTGACCAGCTCTTCAGAATCATCCACCACAAGGGAACTCATGTCATTGATGATCTTGCATACTAGATTTTCTAAAATGATGGAAGGTGCTGTAATATAACAGGCTACTTGTTGTTCATTGTTACCACTCGCTTCCACTAGAAATCTGCAGAAAAATATATAGAGTTCTCCTTTGGACTATTTTGTTTTGTTTTTGTTGTCTTATTTCGTATGAAATACAAGAAATCAGGATAGACATCAGGAGGCACTACTTCACAGTCAGGGCGGCTAGGAGCTGGAACCAACTTCCAGGGGAAGTGGCGCATGCTTCTACCCTGGGGGACTTCAAGAGGAGGCTAGATAATCACCTAGCTGGGGTCGTTTGACCCCAGCATTCTTTCCTGCCCATGGCAGGGGGTCAGACTTGATGATCTGATTAGGTCCCTTCCAACCCTACCAACTATGAAATTATGGAAATTAACAGACAGGTTTAATATATTGACATAGGAAACATTTAAAATCAAACCAGCCATATCTTCTTGGGTTTCTACATGAGAGGGGAAATTCATTAAAAAAAAGCTTGTATTTACTAGCAAAATTGTATGTCTTTTGCTGAAACATAATTAACAAATTATTAGAAAGCTACCTAATTTGGGGGCCTGATTTATGACTCACTGAACTCCAATGAGAGTCTTTTCATTGACTAGACTGGACTATGACTCCCTATGATTTAGAGATTTTGTAAAATCAGGAAGATACATTAAGGTCTTCACAGAATGCCAAAGACCTGTTAAATACATACTGGCCTTTATGTAGACTGAAACTTGTTCTGCACATGCAAGATGATTTTCTGTGCACACATTGGCGATGCATAGGGGGTGCATGCAGGTGCATGTGCACCTGCTGAGATTAGCAGTGCACCTCCTGCAAAAAGCACCACCAACACTGCCAGCAGTGCCTGTGGATGATCCTCGATTGCCGTTGGACTCTGCGGCTGCTGCCAGTGGTGTCTGCGGGTGGTCACTGACCACCAGTTGGCACTCGCCACTCCCCCCCCCAGCAGCTCTGCTGCTGCCTGCGGAAGCTCACCGTCCACTGCCTACTGCCACCATGCTCCTGCTGCCAACAGCACCACTACCAGCTGTGGGAGCTCGCTGTACCTCCACCCCCACCCCCAGCCTCCAGGGGCATGAGGCATTCACGTGTGTACATATAAATGTGTGCTTGCCAATAGGCAACTTATGTGTACATATTTTTCTTCCACTGAAGTAGACTGTACTTACTGTTTGTTTATTGGTTGCCTCAATTGTTGCTCTTCTGCTGAATCACTTGTAGAGAGAATCACAGACGGGGTATCACATGTACTTTCTGACTTTGCACACTCATTTGTATGAACTTGGTAACTTCCAAAAATATGAATTTTCTCCTTTTTGCTATATTTTTGATTTTCAGATGAATTCTCTGTTGGGTTCTGATCTTCACTTTCCATCTGCTTTGAGGATTCTTTGCTAACTACTTGTTCTTGTTTAGGATAAATCATTGAATGTCCATGAAAAATACCTTCGAATTTTTGAGGTATTGTGTTGTCTTCTCCATTGTTCCCAGGAACTTCTTGAAAACCTTCATCAGGACATCTCTTACTAAAAGATCTCAGTCCATTAGCTTTCTCTTTTCCATTGTAATCTTGCTCTGTAAGCGAATTCTTTATTACCTCATGTTCTGCATTTTCATTGAGCTTTGGGGGGTTTATGTTTACTGTTTCTTCTTGAGCAGATATTTTTTCACTTGATAAAACAGATTCTATTTGCACTGCTTTATTTTCACTTAACTGGATTTGGTGATTGTTCTGATGTTTCCTTTCCTTATCTGAAGTTATCTGGTCTGACTGACAGACACTAGATCCTTTCTCATGCTGTGTTTTTTCTCTTTCAAAATTACATCCATCTATTTCCTTGGAAATATTTTGAACAGTTTGAGCCTGAGATTTATCATTATCTCTGCAACTAATGTCATACAGTTTCTTTTCCATTTCATGAAAGTATGTGAAAGTATCCAGAAAAAGATCCCTTATTTTCAAAAGATAATCCACAAGAGTGATTCTCTCTAGAAAAAAAACCCAAAGAACTATATGAACAAATTTAATGTTGCTGGAAATGTAAATAAAAATTTGAAAAACAAATCTCAACACATACGCAAAGCAGCCCACACAGTTCTATAGTGATCTGAAAGTAATGTGCGCATAGGAAGTATATTGGATAATATTGTTTCTTTGCTTTGATTTATTGTTTAATATGTAGAAAGGCATATATTTCATTTAGCAAAAGTAATTTGATTGTACAGCTATGATGCCATGCCTCTTTGTAGTCATAATTAATACTATTCTAATGAGAAGAGAGCAGTAGTTAGCTGTGTTAATTGAAGCCAGGCAGAAGGCAGGGTAGGATAACTTATTAGAGACTAGCTCATGAGTTAGTATCTAAAGTGTCATCCTGCCCTGCCTTTTACTATCCTAATGATCAGGGGGGGTGTCTACATGTGCACTTTACTGCGCATTAGACTAATCTAATGTGCATGAAAGAGTCATCATCTACATGTGCACAGCAATTACTGCATAGTGGATTAATTTAAAGTACTGTTTGTTAGTACCAACAGACATAGGTAGTAGAAAACAGTGCTTTAAGCTAATGCACCAAAGCACATATGTAGACCCGAACCAGGGGCAAATTGTTCCCAGTCAGCCCAGGCAGCAAGGGGCCCTAACTGTTGCCTGTCTAGGCCCCAAGCTCTAAGAAGCAGTAGGGAGAGCTGTCCCTGCTCCAGGGGCAGCTCTCAGCCAAGCTGGGACAGCTCCTCCCTACATTCCCCCAAAGTTGGGGCTGACCCCCTCTCCCACCCATACTCCTTGCCACTCAGGGCTGACAGTCCAGGGAACCTGGAGCTCCCCCTGGCTACTGCAGATGGGTAGAACAGGGGAGGAGCAGCCCTGGACTAGGCTGTTTCTGTCAGGCTCACTTTGGTCGCACATGTAGCTGTGCACCTGGGAGCAGTTTAATGCACTTGAATTTACTACATAGTAAATTCAGGCATATAAATTGCATATGCAGACACGCCCAGGTAGTATCAAAATTCTTAATGATAATCAGTGCAATGTAAAACAGAAAATGTTTGGCATCCTAAGTCTTATCATATCAGGAGCAGGCTAAGACCAAATTTTAATTACTTTCTCTTTTAAAATTTAATCTTGCAAAACTCTGAGTACTCTGCCTTTCATTCAGCAAAGCTATTTAGCACATGAATAGTCTCACCTAAATGAATGGGACTGCATATTTGATTAAAGATAAACATCAACAGGATCAAGCCCTAGGGATTGCCTCTTTCTTAGATCTGAAATTATTGGTAAAGTTGTGTGTATAGAAACATGGATTGGCTATTATCTCTAATGTTTTACCCTAAATAGAAAAAAAAATCCATTTGATCATTCCTGATTTGTCTTGTCTTATACCTTTTCCTGGAAATTCTTGTGAGGAAAACACTGTTCAAGGATTTCACATATATCCCCAAGCCTTACATTAGCAACTCTTAAGTTGTTAGAACTGTCTCTCTTCATTTATTACAGTCATTACAGCCCTCTAGGTGGATTTCTCATCTTGTTTCTGTTTACTACAATGTAATACTGACAGGCTTGATTTAAAGATTAAATCCAATGCGAGTCAGTGTAAACAGAAGAGTCATAGAAAAGAAATGCAATATGTAGCACTTAGTACTTGCAAAGGAGAATGAGAAAGAAGGATAGGACAATATTTCTCAAAAGAAACCATGACTCATATCCACTCCACCTTCTCTCACACCTATTGAATAAACTGGGTAGGAAAATCAATACCTCATTGTTTTCTACTTAGAAAATAATTACATTATATATGATGTCATGGGGTAACTGTAGTTTATATAGGCCTTTCATTTAAATCCTTATCAGTGCTTTATTTTCAGTACAAAAAAAATACACTTTAGAATAGAATTTGCTATATCTATTCCGAATCTGGAGCTTAAACGTTTGCAAAAATTGGAAAGAATGTAATTTTTGCAGTTACCATAGCATTTAAGTGGATTTATTAATTTCTGAATTTGAAAACACATGCTGTTCACATTTTCCATATTTGACAACTATATCATTGCTATTAGGAAGTTGTTTTTAGTAAAGAATAAGTATTTCAGAGGGTGTACAAATGTCTGAGAGAGAGAGTAAGTAAATGGAAATAATGTGCTATACAAACCCATATTAGTTGAAAGGTATGTTATTATAGGACCAAATTTTGCACGTTGTTCAGTAATGGAAATCTGAGAAAATATCTGACTCTTTTAGTTATTCTGGATTTAAAACAGTGCAAGTGAGAGACAAATTTGGTTGATATCCTTTACAACTAATATAATCCCTTTTAGCTATGTTTGACCTGGGCAAGCTACATTGCATTTAATGAAGTGACAAGGACAATTCCAAAGAGCTTGTGATTAAGCCAGCGTGCTTTGAGTTCTTCATAGAAGGTCCGTTTTAGATAGAGTTGTAAGTGGTATTTTACCTGCCCTTACTTCATTATCTATACCAGTAGTGGTGTGCAAAGTCAGCCCTATTCAATTCAGATTTGGCCTGAATCAGGGACAGTGTTTTGATTCATTGATTTGGATCATTGTCCCTGTTCAATTCAGCTGAATCTGAATCTGAAGATTTGATGCTGATTTGGACATTGACACAACTTTAAAAGTTTTTTCTACATACCTTCAGGTAGCAGGTGCAGCTTGTGATCACTGCAATGCTGGAGTGTCCCAGAGGAGTGTGTTATGGGGCTCTCCACATGCTTGGCGGCAAACCTGGAAGTAGACCGGAAGTACTTCCAGGTCTGTCAGGGAGTGTGCTGGGCCCTGCCCTGTGCCTCCCCAGATCAGCAATTGGCCCCAGGTACCCCCCACCCCCCCTGACCCAGGAGGCACCAGTTGTTGAAATGCATGGGAGGGCCCCCCAGTGCACTCCCTGGCAGACCCAGAAGTGGACTGGAAGTGCTTCTGGTGCCCTTCCCGGTCTGCTGCTGAGCACGCTGGGGAGGCCCCCACACTTCTGTGGGACACTCCATGCACCCAAAAATCACAGCACTCATGAACCCCTGCTACCTAGAGGTATGTAGAAAAACATTTAAAGTTGTGTCTATGTCCAAATCTCTGAATCTTTCCAAATCTCTCCAAATCGATTCAGTGGGTTATTCAATTCGGAGAGATTAAAAGGTCCTCTGATTCAATTCAGATTCAGAGATTTGGCCTTTTGTCCCATCAATTTCTAGGGACCATAAAACACTATTGATTCCTGACTCAATACTCCTTAAATAGTTGCCATATTTGTAACCTGAGCAGTAGGTGAATAAAGTTGTGGAGTTTACTATTGTTAACAGATTAGGTATTTTTAAGTATATTTATCTTGATTAGTAACATTAACATCCATCCTTAGAATTCTGGGTAAGCACACTTAATAAAACTGCACTTAATTCAGATCAAGGCTCAGGATCATTTAAATTTAATATATATCAATAATCTGTTTGGGAAGAATTAATTTGAAAAAATACCCCATCAGGATTCTGATAAGGGAGGTTTCTAAATGGCTTCCAGACATCTAATTGGGGTGAATTTGACTATTGTTCCACCAGTCCTTTAATATCATCATGGGTTCTCTGTCAAGACTTTAGAAAAGAAAGCAGATTAACATGTGGCAGCAAGAGATATAGCCCATCTCTGCTACTTATGTCCCCTGTTATTTTTCATAGAGGGCAGACTCTAAGGCATCTGTGTAACTAAGATTTGGATGAGGAATTGATCCTTCACCTGGATATTTGGGATTTTCTAAAATTAAATTAATTTTAAACATCTGTTGGTATTCTGTATGGCACAGTCCACCTGATACACACATTTGGACGTATCTAAAAAGCAGACAGATAATCAACTATACTATGATATACTTGACATCACAAAGAAGGGGACAGAGCTGGACACACACTTGCTTCATAGGGTTCCATCAACTGGCTAACAATGCTAACAATCAAGTGACAAGCTGACAAAGTTTATGAAGTAACTTTGTGACCCTTTAAATAACCTGGTTACCAAAGACTATTATTAGGATCTAGTGAGAGGTTATTACAAAAGACACTGCTTTGGTTTCTCATTATATTAGGAACTGTCTGAAGGCATCACAGGGTGTGTACAAGTATTATATTTAGATTGATAGAATTAAGTTTAGTCTGGTAGAAATGCTATGTATGCAAGTGTTCACAAAGCTTAGTCAGGTCTAAAAATAGATAACTGATAGGCCAGTTTAATGAACACTCATACAGTTTTCCTATCAATAGGAGTTCCCTCGCTATTCTCCAGCATCCCAGTATGCATTGCTCCTACCCTGCCCACCACATGCAGGGAGATGATTTGGCACTTGGGCCATGCTCCACTGCTCTAGCTGAGGCTTGAGCAAACCCTGCCTCCTGGCTGTCTCAGCAAAGAAAACCCAACCCTTCCCCACAGCCTTGCTTTGCACTCTGGGCTACAGGGAAACATGAAGAAGCTTAGGAAGATGTATTCCCTGCACATGACCCAGACCCCTTAACACCCAAGACCCTGGGCCAGATCCTCACACCTCCAAGACCCAATCCCAAAGTACACCGAGAACCACGTGCAGACCCAAGCACACAGACATAAGGACCACCAAGACTCAGACACAGACCCAAAGACCCAGAACTCTAGCACTTGGACAAAGACCTCAAACCCCACAACTGAAGATCCAGATACAGCGCCACACAGGCCAGACCATGTCACAAACCCACTCTGAATGTGCAGGATCTACTATGTGTTTTAGTGTGGGGGGAGAATGGAAAGATTGAAATGGGCTGGCAGGGAGATGATCCCACTGAATTTGGGGCTTGTGGGTGTGTGGCCCACTGTCAGAAGACGTTTGAGCCATGTAAGTTGAGGGCAAGGGTGGGTGTTATCAGTATGATTGTTGTCCTCACCTACCCAGTGACATCTGGACCCACCATGGATGCCCAGATTCCAAGGGCACCAACAAGCACCATGGCAGAGCCCAGCTTCTCTTCCTTTGCTATCTACAGCAAGGGACAGAACTGGGCCATGGAGGAGATGAGGGATCTTCTTATCATTTGAGGTGAGGAGAGGACACAGGAGCAGCTCTGCAGGAGGCACCACAATAAAGAGGTGTTCTGGTGGCTTGCTTAAGAAATGAGCGTGACCACAACTGCAAATGAACTCAGTGCAAGGCCAAAACCAAATGGATGAAGACCCAATTTAATTGTACTTGTAACACCAACCAGACCTTCGGAAAGATAAGGTACACCATGGTGTTCTATGAGGAGCTGTTCCACATCCTCTCAAGATAAATATGTTTTCACCCTGCACACCTATGCTATCACTGGGGAAGAGTTGAAGCTGATGGCAGAAGTCTCAGTGTCTACATGTGTGGCCCTATTAGGCCATAGCAAACTAATTAGCTCCACCATAGGTTAGTACTTGTAGACATAAGTACTATCCTATGGCAACATTCCTTAGTGTGCAACAACACACATGTAGGTGCTGACAGGGCTGGCTGGGGCACAAGGGTGCTTCAGTGCACGGGCTACCTGCTGTCTAGCCTCACACTGGAGCACCCTCATGACACAGCCAGCCTCTCCACAGCACGTTGAGCTGGATCAGAGCAGCCCCAGGCTGGCAGGCTGCCAGCCAGGGCTGCTCCAGTTCAGCTCAGAGTGCTCTGATCCTGGGTGTACATGTAAACATGGCACACAGGAACAATAAACTCTGGTGTGTTTCAAAGTTTCATAGTAGCTAGGGTCAGGAGGGCCCTGAACAGATCATCTAGCCTGACCCCCTGCCACAGGCAGGAATGAATGCTGGGTTCACAAGACCTCAGACAGGTGATCATCCAACCTCCTCTTGAATATGCCCAAGGTAGGGGCGAGGACCACCTCCTTGGGAAGCTGGTTCCAGATTTTGGCCACCCTAACTGTAAAATATTGCCTTTTGATCTCCAACCTAAACCTATTCTCCATCAGCTTATGACCATTGTTCCTCGTCACCCCAGGTGGTGCTGGGGAGAAAAGGACTCTGCCTATTTGCTGTTGATCCCCCCTGATGAGTTTGTAGGCAGCCACCAGGTCCCCCCTCAGCCTCCTCTTGCTGAGGCTGAACAGGTCCAGGTCTCTCAGTCTCTCCTCGTAGGGCCTGTCCTGCTGCCCTCTCACCAAGCGGGTGGCCCTCCTCTGAACCTTCTCCAGGCTGGCCACATCCCTTTTGAAGTGTGGTGCCCAGTACTGGACGCAGTACTCCAACTGCGGCCTGACCAAAGTCGCATAGAGGGGGAGTATCACCTCTCTGGACTGGGTTGAGATGCACCTTTGGATGCATGACAAGGTATGGCTGGCCTTGCTGGCTGTGGTCTGGCATTGGCAGCACATGTTCATGTGTGCTATGCACCAGAGTTTACTACATCACATTAATTTCACATGTAGACATGCCTTTATCAGACTAGTCTCACAGTCAAATAAGGTAGCAAAATAATACACTAAAATGGGCCCCAGATTTTCATAGACAATTATATAATCTCCGTTGATGCCTAGAAAACTTCCTCTTGCATACATAACAGGGGCCAGATAGTTTGATCTGGCTCAACTATGCGGGATGAAAGGCTAGCTGAAATCCAGCCCTGAATTTGGCCTTTCAACATTTTCTTTTTAAAGCCACAAAAGAAAAAAAATGTAGGATAAAAAAAAAAATTGCATGTGCTTGGGAAACTTTAAATCAGTTTATGGAAATGATTCTAAACAAGCAATGAATTTTACATAAAAATCTCTTATTAGAAAATGAGAAAATTACACTGAGAAATATTTTAAAATAAATAACACAATAAATATAATATTACAAAAATAATATAATAAACACAAATCTAATATTATGTGGAAAAATATTGAGTTCAAATACAAGTCAAATATGAGTTCATGTGAACATCTAAGGGTAACATTTAACTTGCTATGTCCTTAATACATTCTCTTTACTGTTAAACTTGCATTTACTTGCCTTGACTTGAAACTTGTTTGTGTTTGTCATGAAGAATATTCAATATCTGGCAAGTATCTTTTAAGGTCTCTGTACTATGTTCCAGCTGTTGGCTAAGAGATCTGCTGAGTTCTTTAGTGAGAGAGAATAGTTTACGCACGTACTCCATTGTATCTTCGTTTTTCTGAAAGTCTCTTTTTAGAAGCATCTCTTTCAGCATTAGATTTAAATGCCAAATTTCCTCAAGTACTTGGCTTGATTTGTATGCAGCAGGTATAAGCTTACATTCAGAGGCTTCCATTTTAAATTTAGAACACACTACTGCAATTTCTTATATTCAGGATGCTACCAAAAGATTGCCTTCCTGGTTCTAATTGTTATTCTTTTTTTTTCTTTCTTTTTTTTTTTTTTTGAGCTCTAGGAGGTCAGTAGAAAAGTGTTGTGACTTAATCCAACTGAAAAACCAAGTTCTTGGCTCTGAAACTCTGAGTTGATGTTGACTATTAAAGAGTTACTAGGTGACAAAAAAGGAGTGGCTTCTCGCAACTGGTAATCTTGCATTGTAAAGGGAGGTCAGATGGTATACCATATTGACTTAGGAGTGTAAAATTGGTAAGTTACAGTATATAGCAGTGTATATAGCAGTGTTAAAGCATATAGCAGTGACTTTATTTTCATCGTCACTGAACACTTGTAGCCTTTATACAGTTCAATAGAAGTTGTAGGTTCTCTACATTTATAAAATTGGGCCATAATTTTTATTTTTATATTTGCACTATCAAATATATATGGTATATCCCAAGGAATGAATTGAAACCCTTCATACAAACTAGCATTAATTATTAAAATAAGCCCCTACTCATGCTGATTTAGTACATTTCAGGTTAATCTACTTCTTTTGTATTTGTGTTTTATGAGTCTCAGGATATTGCAAAGAGCCACATATGTTTTGACAGTTGGATATGATCAATATCCAAAATGGTAACATTCAAACCACCATATATAAGAAACTAACAGACCAGCATACATATCTACACAGAACCAGCAATCACCCTAAACACACCAAGAAAGCTGTAATTTACAGCCACGCTCTCCAATAATACCCTGATCATCACCTTACAAATCTCAAAAGGGCCTTTACCCAACAAGGACACTCCTCCAGACAGAGAGATATCATACCTTTGAAAGAGCCAGCTGGATACCATGTGAAGATTTGCTGCAGAACAAAAAGAAAAGCCCCCAAAATCACACCCCATTACTTATGACATATCACCCTTCCCTAGAACCTACACAGAAAATCCTCAATTGCAACCCATGCTAGAAGACCCAATTCTTAAAGAGATCTTTCCAGAACCACCCATCCTAGTCTTTAAACAACCACCAAACCTCGCTAACCTCATCACCAGAAGCAAACTCCATATGACACAAACCATACCTAATGGATCCAGATCATACCAGGACAAGAAATGCAAAAGCTGCCCATACATCTCCACCACCACCCCACAATTACCACACACCACAACAGAACTATCACCATTCCTGGATCTTACATCTGCACCTGCAGAAATGTTATACATCTCATCCAGTGCAGCAAATGACCTGATGGAAAATATGTAGGAGAAACCAAACAACAACTGTGCACCAGAAGGAACACACACCAAAAATCTATTAAAGACAAGAATACTCAACTACATGTGGGGGTATGCTTCTCACAGGACAATCACTCACTCTCTGATCTCTCCGTTCTAATCCTCAAAGGGAACTTAGAAAACACTTTTCATAGATGATCTTATGAACTTCAATTCCTAAATCTAGTGGATACAAAAAATCATACACTCAATATAGACATTGGATTTATGACACATTAAATCTACCTGACATCTGATTCACCAGATACCTGCCAGACATGACCTCTTATACTTTTCTTCCCCCCTCATTCCTCCCCTCACCTCCCTTTTTCCTGATTTCCAGTTATTTACTTTTTCACAATCAGCCTCTTTTCTACCTTGAATTACTAGTACTATAGAGTATCCCTTACTCACCTTTGGGGTTTTCCCCCTTCCTTTCCCTTGCTTGACCTTTTGTTTTCCTAATTTCTACCTATTTACAGTCTCACTGACATTCTATCACACTTTTAGCTTCTTTCATGCCTTGGAGATCTCAGAACAGCAAAGACTTCCTATGCCTCAAGAAGGGTGATTGTGCTCGAAAGCTTGCAAAGAACTTTTCTTCACCTACTCAGTTGGTTTAATAAAAGATATCACATCTACCCAAAGAACCTTGCCTGTCAATGAAAGCTAGTTTCTTTAGGAAATCTGTGGTATCTTTCAAATAGCTGGCAGTCCTGGGGAATGGAAAGCCATGCTAAAAACAGCCCTGATATTATCATACAACAGGCTGATAAGGGTAATTATACTGTTGTCATGGACAAAACAATATATACAAGTATCTGAGAGAGACCTTTCCAACAAAGAGTTTTAAAACATCTGACAAAGAACCCCATAGCACAATATTTTAAGGAATTTGATACATTCTTATATAAGCTACCTCTGGAAACATTTGAAAGGATGAATGCTTCCCCCTCCCATGAGTCCAAAACAGGCAGCTTTTTCTTATCCAAGATCCACCAACCCAGCAACACAGGAGGTCCCATTATCTCTGGTGTTGGTGTTATAGGGGAGCAGTTAGTGAGTCCTCAAGCCCCACTAACAGACCATGTAATAGCTGTACTTGAAACATAATGTGTATCATAAATATTTTTTATCATACAAAAGTGGAGCATACAAGCAACCTGTACAGTTTACCTGTTGAGTACTTCCTTGTATAGACTGTTGTTCAAAAGGCAGGTCAACAAAAATCACACTGAAGTTTAAGAATAAAACAAAATATCAGATGGATTTTCTCAGGATGAATTAGGTTATAATGGCAGTACTTTGAAGCACCACATAGTTGTTAATTGTTATTAAAATGTATAATGAATGCTCTGGAATTTCTGAAGAGAGCAGCCCTGTTACACCCAAAAGGAAGATTAAAAATCATAAAAGCTCGCTTGGTCAAGCTGAAATGTACTTCTAACAATTAAAAAGATATATGATGTTATTAACTCATTAGAAATGCCTGATGTTTCAGGGCTAGTTACTTAATACCCCTGTATTCTTCTACTAAAATATTTTTGGAAAAAGAAAATAACAAAGATTTTTTTTTTTAAAACATTATGTTATATATGTCAGTCTCCTTTATTTAGACTGGATGTGAGCAATTATCTCCTGTTAGCCAAAATTTTAGGACACATAAGGAAAGTTATGGAGAATAATACAGAAAATAATGACAATGGTATTCTAGATTAAGGGTCAGCAACCTGTAGCCCACAAAATGGATTGAGCCTGGAGATCCATTGTACCCAGCTTATTGAGTGGGGCTTAAGCAGCATTCAGTGGTATTCAGCACTGGGGGCTTTACTGTGACAGCTGAAAATTATGTCTGTGTGATAAAGTTTAAGATGTAGTGAGGCCTTGTATAAAGTAAGGCCTAGTAAATTTAGCAAAACCTTGAAGTAGTAAAGCCCTGTGGTGTAGTTAAAATTACCTTATCAATGGAATGCAAGGCTTGTACAGCTATTAGTCAGTCTAAGGACACTTGAAATAAAAGAAATCTGAGTGGTTGTACGTCATCAGAACCATTCAGAAGCTATAAATGAGCTGAAATATCTAGAAACCATTCTGAAAGAAGATACAGCTCTGTGAAAAAGATTAGTTAGCTGTTGCCTGGATCAGTGAGCCTGTGGACCTCAAGGAGCCCAAGAACTGCATTCCAGAGTCCTTCCCGGTACCTCTCGGACAACGCTGATTGGGGACGCCTGACTTCGCTGAACTTTGTGGAAATAGAAACTTGCTGTGTATCAGGCATCAGAGGGGACTGCTGATAAGTTGCCCATGTGAATTGCTTTTGTCTGTCATTGTTTGTCTTGTTACTATGTGTAGTCGTGTTTTTGTTAAGTCAATAAACCTTTCTTATCTTTCTACCCCTGACCATACTCTCAATCCCGAACCCTCCACAGGCAGCTGGGACACTTCACCAGTGTCATGCTGTGACGAGTGCTTTGTCCATACTGCACCATGGATGGGTGGCAGACAGAAACAGCGATGGGTAGGAACAGCACCAGCCAGGTCATGACATCAGCCTACCTTCATCCCAAGTTGTGTCTTCCTGGCCTTTCCTCTGGAAAACATCACCAATTTCTGTTGTTGATCAGTGGTATGGCATCATCTGAATTATTGGGCCACATTAAATGAAAATGTGCTGGTATGGACAGCTAAAGATCTGGTAACTAAACCAGTTTTCTAGTTGCTCTTTCTCTCTAGATTAATTAATGTTTGTTCAGACATAAGTGGTAAGGAAAAAGGTACTAGTTAGAATTTGTGTAAAAGAAGAAATTAAATGAAAAAAAAAGCCAACTTAAATTTCTAGAAACTAGAAGACAGCCAGTGACCCTAATACCTGAATCTCATTTAATCTATAATATGCTATTGCTTTGAATGGAGCAGATTTTTATTGGAATCCTGTGGTATATCATATTTTATCAAAATTCATTTCCAACAAAAATGACAGGAAGATATTACAAATACATTTCTTCCCCATGCTTAGGGTATGACTTTTTCTTGATTCTTCAAGGAAGTGTACATCTAATTCCTATCTTCATTGAAGTATATTATCTGTATAAATTCTCAGTGCATATATGGAAGGATATATTAGTTAGTTTAGAAAATACATTTATGTAATATGCATTTGATAGATTAAGTTGAAACAATTTGTCTTTCAAATATATAATTGAATAAATTACATTAAGCCATAGAACTGAAAATGAATATTGGTCCACAATGTGGACATAAAACTGTCTTTTTAAAATGTGACTTGACTTACAGTACAAAAGTTCATAATCAGAAAGTTCTCTAAGCAGGATTTCTCACTGAAACAGTTGAGGAATTTGCACACTTACTGATACAGTTTTTTGTTTTTTATGGTGCACGGAGTTTTGACAAATGTTAATTGGGTATCTGAATCATAGAAACTTGATTATTGTTAATAAATTGTATCTCATGTATGAGTGACACATTCAAGTTGTCTTTCACAGCTCATTTACTGCACAACAGTAATTATGATAGACTAATGTACACGTGTTGTAAAATGCTCTGTTTCAAAATTAAAATT